GTTACACCATATATATATATATATATATATATATATATATATATATATATATATATATATATATATATATATTTTTCTTTTTTATGGAGACAAATATTTCAGCAAATGTTTTGTTTATAATAAACACTATTAGCCACATTTACCGACCTGACCGTCCGATATATCTCAAAGTAAATATGTGTCCCCCGATAGGAATCCAACCTGTATCCCCCGGAACCGTCATATAGCCACACGTGCTATACTATTTAGCTAGAGAGGATCGTCTGGTTAGCAAAGTTAAAATACTAAAAATTTTACACAATTTTCCTCGAACATTCATATCTGTTCGAAGCGTATCCTAACCTAAACAAATGACATAATATATTATGAAATGGACTGAGTCCGGCAATTATTTTAATATGTTTTTTGTTTATACGTTATTTTTATAGATAAAAATATTTGAGTAAATGCTCTGTTTATAATAAACAGTATTAGCAACTTTTACCAGCCTGAAATAAACTGAAATTATGTCATTTGTTTACGTTCAGATACGATTAGAGCAGATATGAACGTTCGAAAAAAATCGTGAGAAATTTGTAGTTTAAAAGCAGTAATTTAACCTTGCCAACCAGACACTTCCTCTGTAGCTAAATGATATAGCACATCAGGCTATATGACGGTTCCGTGTATGATACAGGTTCGATTCATGTCCTTTAAGATCTCTCGGACATTCAGGCCGGTAAATGTTGCTAATACTCTTTATTTTAAACAGAGCATTTGCTTAAATTTTTGTATCTATATTTGTATCTAAGTTGTAGGCCGAATACAAGAAGTTATGTCTTCCATGTCGCAAGAGTTCTTTCTGAAATCAGTTGACGCGATTCCTGGGCGGCTAGAGAAGATGGTAGCGAAATCTGGTGGCCATATCGAATTTTGAATAAAACTCATGCTAAATGCATATCCATTTCTTGTAAAAATTATATTTATTAAATAAATTATAAGTGTTTTGAAATGGGGATTTACTTTTCAATCATCCTATATATGATACAATAGGAAAGCCGTTTCATCAGAAAAATATTTTTATTTCAGAAGAGCAAAATCTACATTAGCGAAACAAACGTAATTCATGTTAAGCAGATAAACGCTCGATTTTAAACTTTACCTTTATTGTTATAGAATTAAGATTTTAACTAAGTTCAATTCAGTTTTACTTTTTATTTATTTTACGCTTTAGTAGGCAGCACTATTTCAGTATTATTATCTCTGTAATATTCTGTTAGATTCTCGTCCAGTTTTACTTATATAATGAATGAATGGCCACTCGTATCCGAAGATGCTATGGCGGCTTGCTAACCCCTATTGTAGACGCCTGCTCAGGCACATTTGTGTTTGTTCAACACCTACAGACCACCTCCCTGTGATTTATACTGCACCTATGCTGAGTGGACCTTAGTTACACTTTCTGAGAGAGAATACGTCATCTAGTGTGATCAAAAGTTTGAACAAGGCGAGCACACTCAAAGCCTCGGTCACGATGACTTATGACTTTCTACTAGCACAATCTCCGTCTACCCAATTTCACTCGTAAGGCTTGGTTCAACCCATTGGTATGGTTTTCAGGCACTTTCCAAAGATGTCGAACACTGAAATTGCCTTCTCCACACCGATAACATCAAAATATCAGCTTCCTGACAAATCGACTATGGTGAGATGTGAACACGGGTCTCATGGCCAGAAAGTAAACGTTCTATATATATATATATATATATATATATATATATATATATATATATATATATAGAAAGAGAGAGAGAGTGTGGGAGGAGAGAGAGTGGGAGGAGAGAGAGAGAGTAATATGTAGCGAAAGAATACAATGCGTCTACCATTATTAGCCACATCATGTTTTACGGATACATAAAATAAATACTTATTGGGCCCTAAATATTTATTTGTTGAGTGATAGCAACATCTGTCTGAGACTAAATGAAAACCGCATCCTTCTGCACAGATGTAAACAAACGGCAGCCAGTTGTATGACGTATTCTGAATTTCGAAATCTCAAATTAATAACTACGTTGTCATTTCGAAGACGAGTCATAAAGCTAATAAATAATTATAAACAATTCTTGCAAAATCATTCATTTACTATCATGGTGAAAATTAAAGAATTCTGAATAAGAAATTCAAAAAATTTCAGCACAATAGATGAATGAAAGTATATAATTTTTGAGCACAAATAACTACCTATCGTTGGTAAATCTGAGATAATTTTCATGTGAAAATACACAATGCATAAATCTTTTCATAGATTATTTCCATCATGTTATATTAAGATTAATTAAGATATATTTAATGTTACCTTAAGATTTGCATAGATCTCGTACATCATGTTATATGTCAGTTCTGTTTTAGATCGATTAATTATTCCCTTTAAAATTGGTCCGTATGACAGAAATGTCTTAAAACTGCTATTTAAAATGATCTACCGCTGATATTGTTACATCAACTGCCACTTCCATTATTGATGATATTTAGTATTAATAGTAGCAGTTATATCAAATGTTAACTAATTTTCTGCTCTCATAAAAAGAGATGAGCGTAATCTAATGCTGATATAAATGCTGACAGGACGAATAAATAGTCATTTAATTCTCACTAACGTCAACTGCTGCACTTTCCTGGAATTCTATGTATCCCATTCCATTAAAACTCATAATCACAAAAAGACCACCGATCATATTAAAATGTTATGCGCAATAAAAGAGAAAATATTAATGTCAGAGGCTAGAGACTAAGTCCATTACACTAAAATGACAAAATGATGCGATCAATAAATCTCGGGAATGAAAATCAAGTGGATTTTTGCTATAAAAATTAAATGAATTAAGCAGATGCTTTATACTTGATTTGATTGATATACGTGCGTTTTAGGGAAAGTAATTCAAACAAAAAATGACTTCACCATTCGGATAAAAAACTTTATTATTATATTTCTTTAATAGTTCATAAATATCAGGAAAGTCCGTTGTCTTTCAGTTCAAGAGACTTCCTTAAACAACAAACAGTACATTTTTAATAAATAAAACACATAAACTTCCAATTACGGGTGCAAAGAACTCGAGAGCATTTATCCTGTGATATTTATGTTATATTCTCAGTTATGTTCTCATTGATGCTTTCTTTATTTAAAAGAAGCCCATTGGCATTAATTTCGCTCTTATTTTGAAAGTTTCAGCTTGCTCTGTTGGTCTGTTAACGGAAACACAAAACGAATATCAAATTGTCACGAATAGACAGGAAAAATTAATATTTTTCAATAGAAATTACTTAAGATATTTTTTATGAATTTTTTCATCCACATTAAAATGTTTTCATAAATTTACCTATCAGTTACATGCAATGGATAAAGTCGCTTAGGATTTACTCAACATTTGTACGTTCTATTTATTCAATGGTCAGTGAAAATAAGTGACTATGGAACATAGTTTTTATGATGGCCACTCGAGAGTGATCACCAATGATTCCTAATTTTCATTACGTTTTACGCTCATTTTCCAATCTTGTGTTTAAAAAGTGTATGTTGATTTTCGGGTGATTCCGGTCTAGCTAGAAAAGAGATGCTTTAAGGGGAAAAACTGAAATAAAAATGAAGAGGAGTATTTTTCAGCTGTTCAATATCAGCTTTTATGATATTAATACACACTTTTCGTAATTGTTACGAGCCAGTCAGGTAAATAAGTTTGGCGTGTGTAAAATCCGCACAGCAAAACAAATGAAAGTAAAGTCGACATTGATAAACCACTGAAATGCATGCAAGCGTGCACACACATAAAAATTAAAAAATAGGCACAATAATACATACAAAAATAATTGGCTATGTATGCCAGTATTGTTCTTTTTTAAATATTTTTAACAGCGATGATTATAATGATTTCAGTAGAAGATTTCCTCAACCCCAAGAGTCATTAATATTAACCATTATTCGAATATATTTATCACTAACAAAGTTATTTCATTGTAACCAATTGTATAATGGGTGTTATGTTGATGAATGAATTTTTTTTTTCAATCCCTTCATTTATCTTTATTTTGTCAATTGCTTTACATTTCGGAACGGTTACTATTCTCTTATTGTTACTTTTGTGTGTATTTCCTAATCATTATTATAGCAGACTGAATATAGTGTTTCATAAAGAGGATTTTCTTGTTACTTACTTTTTGAATGAAGTTCTTTATGAATCGTCATTATAATTTCTGATCCATCAATTTTACTTCCTCTCTTGTCGTATTTAGAAAAATATCTATAGATACTTCACATCATTTACGTTGTTTCCTTTAGATCAATTCAAACAGTTCTGTGATATTTATCGTAATGTTCTGGTCTCTGTAACTCCAAGCCATCATCAGAATTCTATCACATTTGAAAGCATTCCAGAAATATCAAACAAAAACCTTTACTTAAAAAGTTAAACATTTACCGTCTACTTATATTTCCATCATCTATTGTTTTTCTACTTTCTACTTATTCTTCTACCTTCTACATATTCTTTTACTTTCTACTTATTTTTTTTTTACCTACATTCGACTTATTCTTCTGCTTATCCATTTACCTTGTAATTAATCTTTTACCGTCTACTTATTTTTCTGCTTTCTACTTATTCTATTACGTTCTACTTATTATTTTACTGTCTACTTATTTTTTACCTTCTACTTATTCATCTACCGACTGCATATTCTTTTAACTTTTTCGTATTCTTTTACCTTCTAATTATTCTTTTACCGTCTACTTATTCTTTTACCGTCTACTTATTCTTTTACCTTCTAATTATTCTTTTACCGTCTACTTATTCTTTTACCTTCTAATTATTCTTTTCCCTTCTATTCATTCTTCGACCTTCTAATAATTCTTTTACCGTCTAAGTATTCTTTTATATAATCTTTTACCGTCTAATTGTTTTTTCTACCTTCTGCTTATTCTTTTACATTATAATTATTCTTTTACTTTTTACTTAATCTCTTAGCGTCTACTTATTTTTCTGCCCTCTACACATTCTTTTACTTTCTTATTTTTTTTACCTTCTACTTATTCTTCAACCAACTTCTTTTACCTTCTCCTTATTCTTCTATCGTATAATTATTCTTTTACCTTATACTTATTCTTTTATATTCTACTTATTCTTTTCCCATCTACTTAATGTTCTACCGAGTATTTTTTTCTTTTACCTTCTAATTATTCTTTTCCTTTCTACTTATTCATTTACCTGCTACTTCTTTTAACTTCTAGTTATTCTTTTAGCTTCTACTTATTTTTTACATTCTACATATTCTTCTATCTTCTGCTTATACTTTTACCTTCTACTTATTATTTTCCTTTCTATTATTCTTTTTCTACTGCTTATTTTTTCCTTTCTACTTATTCTTTTCCTTTCTACTTCTTCCTTTACCTTCTACGTATTCTTTTGCTTTCTACTTTTTGTTTTCCTTTCTAGTTATTCTTTTCTTTTCTACTTATTCTTTTGCCTTCGCCTTATTCCTGTCCTTTCCACATATTTCTTTACCTTCCACTTATTCTTTTACCTTTCTACTTACTCATTTCCTTTTTACTTATTCCTTTTACCTTCTACTTATTCTTTTTCTTTCTACTTATTCTTCCTACAATAATCCTTGATTCCCTATGCAGATCTAGAAGTCTCTTATTTTTCCTCAATTTTCCATCATTTATTCATTTATTTATAAAATTGTATTTTTTATACAATCTATCGCTCAAATTTTCTGCAAATTTACGAATTTAAAATGTTTAATTAAACTAAAAAATACAATTTGATTTTTTCAATTTATTAACCAAATAAACTTATTTCTTATTAATATTCCCTACTGAATTAAGTGCTTTGATATGGTGAAGATTATGTTGAAACCGATATTTGTAGTGTAACATTTATACTTTTTCTATCAATTCTTTGTAAATTGATCAAAACTTATTTATGATTACTTTAATAAATCATTGAAATGAACCTAGTAAAATTTTATTCATAAACAGAACAATATTTTTTTTTACATGTATGTCAAATTTGTAAAAAATAAAAGATTGTGATAACGAAACCTAAGGGAGCATACAAAACATGAATTTTACTTTCTATTCTTTGAACAATCAAAACGATATTGTTGGTATGTGCATTTAATAATGCTCTCTTTAACACCTAAGAATAAAATTGTTTCTTTAGAAATTCGTTTCGATTTTCTTTTTACCATGAAGGTGTCTAATATAGCAATTTTATTTCTTACAAATTCATCAAACAGTTTTAATAGTAACGTATGTATAAAATATCAATAGCAAAATAATACAAAATTTTAAAAAAGAGATCAGACGTTATAAACAATAAATGTTGGAAAAAGTTGCCAAGCTTTTCTGAATACGATAAACAGCAATGATACTAGCGACGCTCCAAAAGTGATATCTGCAATTTTTATTTCCATGGAAACTACAACACATACAGGAGTCACAATAACACCATTAAATGCATTTTCGAGGTGCATATATTTAACGGGTTGACAACCGCGCATTGCTGCCCCGAAACATCGATATAAGTTAATGTGTGTATTTTTTCACGTAAAGAATAATTCAGTGACACACCTCTATTTTGCGCTGACTTTCATATCAGACGCTATTTTATCAGACTGTAAAAATATCAATAACTATATGCGTCATTGACGTAAAGGTTCACCCTTTACTGTCATAAACCCCAAACCCGCCTTTGATCTGGTAAGTCACATTAGGATGCATTACTTTCGGAGCGACACTCATATTTTACATGTGTATTTACAGAAAAAATGCATCATCGCTCTATAATTTTAGGCCATTCAAGTCTTGTCTAAATAGAATTCAAATAATGCTCAGCCACAATTTCATATCTTCTCATTTCGAACTTTTGTAGTTTTTTAGACATAATATACATAATATGTGGCTGTCTTTTTATACAGTCATGTCTGTTGCACAAAATCACATCAGCTGATGACACTGAAACACAGGAACTTTGACAGGCTACGAAAGAAGGCTCATCATTAATGATCTGTTTTTTTGGTGTATTGAGTAAATTTGCTACTTCTTTACATTAGCTGTATATTCTTTCTCGCAATTACTACTTTTATGTAAATAGGCTCCACACGCATCAAGAAACCATATGGACATTATTTAATTATGTTTGGATTAAATCGGAAGTTTTTTTTTTTATTTAATGTTTTATCGCTTCTTTTTCATTTTAACAAGCTTGTTTCATAATTTATTATTATGCGTCATAACTTTTATTTTTTAATATATTTAAAAGTATTATTTTAATCTTGCAGTCGATGTGAAAGAGGAATATAGAATATTAGTAAAAATGGAAATTCTCAATGAATTTGCATTCCCATTGTTGAATCAAAAAGAAACCAAATAATAATAATTTCTGTAATAATTTCTGTACCTTCAGAAAGAGTTTTGTTCGCAATATTTGAATCCTTTCAAATACAATCGTGATAACTTAAAGGTAGGTACCTCCAATTATCGCTGAAAACAGCATAACATGATGAAAAAGTCCCTAAACTTATTCAAAATGCTTATGTTATTATTAAGAGGAAAGACCAAAGTATTTTCTATTATTTTATTAAATTTTCCAGTCCTTTCTAGCACGTTCGAAATTTTGGTTAGAAATTTTTTTTTGTTGTTTTTTTCGTTAGTGGTAGACATAATATTTACGATTAGTGTTTTAGCGCCTTTTCAGGTGTAAAACACATTAATTTGGAAATTCTTGCAATAATCAAATAATTGTCGGATTTTAAGGACACTTTCAGGACGTATTTACAAATGAATGAAATTATTTTTGAATTTTTTTTAGAAAATCTTGCTAAAAATATCTTTTACACACACAATTTCATAAGATTTTGAGAAATTAAAACTTCATCCTAATTTTTTTTTTTTTTAGTTAAAAGCCGAACTCCTTGGAGAATGTAAATCATTAATTTTTATTTTTCAAACTACTACTCGTTTCTCAAAAATCTGTTCCGAATCGTAAAATAAAAAAAATGAAATAAAACTAGGACATTATTAAATTAGAACAGCTTTTAATTGCTTTTACAAATAAGATTTGTTAAGGACACAAAAATTTTTTCCATGAATAATGAATTTTTCCAAGAATTGTTTTCATTTGTTAAATATAATAATTATAATAATTTATAATATATAAATCTTTTAAAATTCTGCATTACTTTCATCCGGTTAGGTGTTATTAAGCGAAAACTATATTTACTAATCAAAAATTGCAAAGCTTAATACAAATCATCACGCACCAAATTTTTTAAAATTATTTTTTTATTATAAGCTATTATGTAACGTTCACATTTTTTAAGTATGGTCAACCATACACGATATTATCAGAAAATAAGAACGATGACGACAGTAAATTTAAAGTCAATATTCCTAAAATTAGATAACGGAGAATATTTTGCAACATTTTTAAGATTACTGATTACTTAAAAATTATATAAAAAGGCGTCCACGTCATTTTCTTAAATTATGTTTTACAGATAAAGTCTCCGTAGAACAACAATCATTATGTAATCACCTGCCATCGCCTTGTCAACTACTTAAAACATGTCAATGTCAGTTAAAAACACAGCTACTGTTTTGTTTTAAAAATACATTTTTGTGTCAGTTTAAACTTAAATAAATAATATTTATTTCAAACCAGATTAATTATTCTTTAAATCAGCAAATATTCCTCATATAAAGTTTCAGAAAAGTATATTTTATTTTTGGAATATTTTTTAATACAGAGAATTACATTGCAATGCAAGACGACTAAATAAGGGCGCTAATCAGCTAAAAAATCGATTCCAGTCTCTTTGAAATACACCAGAGTATTTTGCTTACTGGAAATAGTAAATTTAATCCTTTAGCTTTCAAGAAAGCTTTTTCATTTATAAAAATTCATTTTATATCTTATTTATCGAAAATTGGTGGCGGTCCCTATTATAAAGTGTACAACTCCTCAAAAGATAAGTTCTCTGCTTACGATTTATATACACCCGATATATTTACGCTTACATACGTTTCTATATACGTTGAGAATAATTGAATTCTGTTAACAAACAATATATATATATATATATATATATATATATATATATATATATATATATATATATATTTCTGAGATGAGGTATTATGTACACTATTTACGTTATTCTGACTATTGTCCTCATTTTTGTCGACATATTTATTACAACGTTTCGGCCGTTGTACGCTCAAGCCTTTTATTTTGCTAACTGTTGTAGACTGTTCTAGTTCCACATGCCATGTCTAATGGATGTTAGTTATCAGTTATCCACTGTTAATTCCCCTCTCCAAGTTCTCCACCGCCTTAACTTGTCCTGTCACTGGATCTAACTAACGCCTTTATCCACTGTGCCATGTGTCCTTGAGGACATCTGTTTATGAATTTCTGGCTATTATAAACCTAATGTCTTCAGTACCGTTTTTTACCAGCGCTTATATTGCAATTTTTGCTGTTATCATGGCATGTTTTTACCAGAGCTATACACACACACACACACACACACACATATATATATATATATATATATATATATATATGGGAGAGAGGGGAGAGAGAGATAGCACTGATTTTTTATGAATTTTAGTTAACTGAAACTTTGAATATACTTCAAGAATAATAAAAGAAAAGTTTTAAAGTTTTACGGGCAAATTTTCTTCTGCAAAGAGACGAATATCGAAAGAGGATTATAGTAATCGACTCTGTACATGAATGATCATTGTTTCTTCATTATCGGGTGGATAAAGGATAATATTTGTGTATTTTATTTGCAAAGAAATTCAAAGGGAATAAAAACGGAAGTCCTTGTCAACTCATACATTGAAACATCTAAAAAAAAAAATTAAAAAACACACACACAAAGAGAGATAAAAAAAAAACGCACAGGAAATAAGTTGGCATTACATCCGCTTAGCGTTTTACTCAGCGGAGCTGGAAAGGAAATGTTCTTTAATATGGTGGGTAAAAGTTTAATATAATATTTTTCCTATATTATTCTGTAGTCCAACTCTTTTCTTGCGCATGACTATTTTATTTAACTTTTCAATATATTTATATAATAATAATAATAATAATAATAATAAGAAGAAGAAGAAGAAGAAGAAGAAGGAGAAGAAGAACAAGAACAAGAAAAACAAGAAGAGCAAGAACAAGAAGAACAAGAAATAATCTATTTAATAAAGTGAAGTGCGAAAAATTTAGATTTTAAGTAGTTTCGACATGTATCACTTGTAAAATTGTTTCAACATGATGACGTATGTGTCACATAATAAGTAAAATATGAATGGAGCTATGATAGTGTAGTTGTGGCAGTCGTGAGTGCAGACACGATTTAACCAGGCGATGATTGTTGAGGCCAGAAAGATAGTCCACTGTATTTCTGAAATGACAACGATTCTTTTTTTCTTGGACAAGAATAACAAGAGTATACCAAGAGTATGTAAATGTAAAACAGGCATCAGAAGCACGTGAAAACGGTGGGCGTCTGCAAGTGATGCAAGAATGAGGCCACCAATGACTGACAATGATGATAACCATTCAATGAAGTGTAATATAGCATCAAATCACATCCAAATTTAATGCCGCTATACCCATCAGTCAACACAGTGTGCAGCGTACAGGAAAGTCCGCGTGTTTTCGTATTGTCGGTTAATAAGGTGACCATTATTGATTACTGAGATTAACCTGGGCAACTGTAGAAGACATATACCCCGTCACTTGGTTAGACGAGTCATGTTTCTAGCTTTCTCAAGAAAACGGTCGAATTTGTGTGCACAGGAGACGACATGAGGCGATGGATCAAGCGTGTCAGCAGAGTATTTTACGAGTTGAAGATGTCACTATAATGATGGGAGTGTATTCAATTAACGTTCACCAGGAATACTAGTGGAAATGGAGTTTGTCCTGACTGATGTGACATTTGCACCTATTCTTACTAGCCATATTCCTTAGTGTTGGTGTTTGACAGAGTAAGATAAAATAACACACCTTCCATACGTGGATCACACAAAACTGATTTCAGAAATAAATATATATATATTATAATATATATATATATATATATATATATATATATATATATATATATATGTTGAAATGTTTTCAAATCTGAGCAACCGTGCGACCATTTTTTGGGAATCTCTTTCTGGTCTAGCCGAGTACATTCAGCATCCCTTTATACGTTCTAAAACAGTTTAATGTTTTACAGTTAAAAGATGAGATAATGCATCAACATAACTGATATTTTTTATTACCCCACCTTATTTTATTGACATAAAGTATGTAACATAATTTATTACAAATGATATCAAGTCAATATAATACTTTTGACCTTATACAGTAATTATGTTCATTTGCACACAAGCATATGCACACACGCTCACTCACTCGCTGAAAGTCATTTTTGCTGTAGTATTTTCGTTCATGAAAATGCATTGATTTAAACATAAAGTAAAAACAAATAAAATAGGAAATTTTAAATAGTTGGCTTATAAACCTAAGAGCTTTCCCTGTATAAATGCAAAAATAATCTGAAAACTGAAATGCCATTTGAATTTTGATTGGTTTTAAAGCCAACCCTACAACCAAATGCTTAAGTCCTTCTTTGCGTGCCCAATCCCTAATTAATTAATTTACATGGAAACTCATTCCTAAAATAAAATTAACTTTTTTTTCATACATCTGAAACTAACTTTAAGACAGGATATTCAGCACTTGTTAACCTTGGGTAACTAATGTACTACACATTTTTATGGTTTACATCTTGATGAAATCCACTCAGTTAACATCGCCATTTGAAGAAACGTTGAACGCTAAAGACGATGATCACCAGTTGAATAACATTAAATTGGTGAAAATAAGAATTGAAGAATTTTGTCGTAAAAAAAATTAACAAAGGATTTATTTACTAACCAAAAAGCTTCAAATCCGAAGGATTAGCGTCTAGCTTATATCTAATTTAAAAAGGACCAGAATATGTTTTATAGATGATATTTGACTGTGTATGGACACGTCTGTAACATGGTATATTTGCTTTAATCAATTTAACCCAAGCAAAGTGATAATGCCTCTAAAACTCAACGGGTTACTGGAAGTGATAGAATATGAAAAGACTTTAGAAGAAACTGGATCATTAACAGAAAACAAATATATGTAAATAAATCAGTACAGCTAATGACAGATAGCTCAAATTACGTAACAAATATTTTTTTTTCTATATAATCATTTTTATTGTCAATGCACTGATAAACTGCCAATGCCTGGTGAATTAATTACATTATAACTGTGTCATGTTACAAACTTATTGTATTTATTACTTATTGTTTGTGTGTGCGTCTTAGCAGCAATATGAAAACTTAACTTTATAAAAGAATTTTGACTCAGGTGTAGTTGTGAGTACTGTTGTAAATTGGCATCATAAAACCACGAACATGCATGACTGTTGTCAAGTCTATCTGATAAGACTGACTGACAGTATGAAGTTGTATCTTCATTTTAGAAGTTTGGAATCCCTTCGAAAGTAAGTTGCTTAAATAGATGCAGCGTTTTTCTGAATGCAAAGCAAGCAACTATTAAAAATTGCCGTCCATTTGGATGAAGTGATTTTATGTTATTTCTGCGTTGTCTTATTCGAAGCCAACTAACTCACTGGCGATGATGCAAGTAAGTTGTCAGTGAATCGGCTGTTCTGTTCGTTCGGAAACTAACTAAAGCATTGATATCTGGGGGAATTTGTGTATATGTACGTTTGTTTTGTATTGGGCGCTCAGAGTAGAATTTTGATGGCCGTTGATTAACTCGTCATATTTGTTTTTGATTGATCTAAATAGGGAAAGGTCGTAATTCAAATGTTCTTCCCTGTCACACTTTCTTTTGCATAGATTTTTACCGCCTGTAGTCAAAATAGCATTTACTCGGCTCGACAATGTTTAGTATTTATTTATATCAGATCGATCGATCAGCATAACACTATCGGATAACTAACAGTTCATATAAAATTTAAACAGAACATTATCAAATAAAATATTACCTCTAAATATAGCATGCTTCTTTAGAGGATATTTTGCCATCGACCCAGATTGCTGACGAATTCATTCTGGAGAGGCTCGACTTCTCGGTACTTTGAATATCTGATATTTAATTTATAATAAACGATGATGATCATTAGTGAAAGTTTTATTAAAATTAGTTTTATCCAACGTTAATGACATTTATACTTCTATTTCATAATCCTATTCGGTGTAATTAGCTGAAAGGATGTACAAATTCATTTACACTACGCTTCACATAATTAACCACTAATCATTTTTTCCTAATATTTAAAAACTAATGAAAAAAATTTCTGAAAATATTTGTTCTATTATTGTGGAGGGTTTTAAACATAATATGAATAAATTATTATAGACAACACATAAGATGTGGCAAATATTTTATGAATTTTACTGGATTTTCCAAGTTTTATATTATCAACGAAGTTACTGAAATTCCAAGAAACATTATGTTGTCATTATAATTAATTATATTTCCAGAACGTGCACAGCGTTTACAATGGTAAATGTTTTTAACAAAAATAGAAAACAGTGTAATTGTAATTACGTCAAAATCATAAAGACAAGATTAATGCACCATGTACGGAAGTTAGGTTTACAAGTCATATACATACTTTGATTTTTTGAGCTGTAATGTTTCTTCATATGAAAAAGACTGCACAGTAATAGAATTCCAAAGTTAATCTTTGCTGGTAAATTGCCATTTGCCAATGTAATCCTTCCTCTTCAGAATGCAGCACATGTTTTCAATCGTGTTAAGGTCGAGCGAACAATCTGGCCACTTCATCAAACGAATGTCTTTGAAAGCCATTTTATTCAGATATTCATTAATTTTCTTCAAATGTGATGGAGTATTGTCGTGCATAAAAATAATTTTCATCACACCAACTCCGCCTTATTAAAGTCTCAACATGTGAGAATGGTCTCCTCCAGTAGCCACTAACCTTTGCTCAATCTGTCCGGCTCATCGAGAGTTGAACAACATTTGTCGATGAAAAGAATCGTTGAAAAATCGGTCAATGTTTTCTGTGGCCATTCCATTCGATTTTCCTAATGGGAGAAGTGGATGGCTCAGTCTCACATGATTTGATTTAGAACTCCATATCCTATGCTTTTCAACATTCCCTCGCTGCCACAACGCTTAGAAAATTCATAGTTTGATAAAGACCTTTTTTAAAATTTCTCTCTTGATACAAGCCATAGACCAAGCTATAAAGTTATTGTTGAGAGCGTTAGCCTCCAGAAATTTACAGATCAACATGTTTTGTTAGACATTAACAATCTATCTATTATATTTAGTTAATATTCCTGTCAAATTTAACTATATAAGTCATATCTGTTTACTACTGGTCCTTGAGGAGGTAAGGTAGTTAAGAATGTGTAGTATGATCAAGCACACATTTACCTACTCTTTCTATCGCTTTTCTCTCTCTCCCCCTTCCTCTCCCTCTCTCTCTTTCTCTCTCACTCCTTACATACTGTTTCGCTTTACCTTCTTTTTCTTAACCTACACTTTCTCCCGCATTAACTTCTCTCTCTCTCTCTCTCTTTACGTAACTACTCTTTCTCTAACAACCATCATAACTTGCAATTGCTGAGATATTTTGTCAAATTATCTGGAAATAATAGAAAATGGATAACTACTTTCCCCATTAACATTACTGCGATGTGAAACTAAGGAGCTGCAGACAAAATACGAACTAGCTTTTCCCTTTTCTTGGCTGGTAATTATTGCACCATCCATATCTCTCGATCTGTTATTTCCATTTTATTTCTCTCTCTCTCTCTCTCTCTCTCTATCTATCTATCTATCTATCTATCTATCTATCTATCTATCTTTTCTATCTATCTATCTATCTATCTATCTATCTATCTATCTATCTATCTATCTATATATTATATTTAATTAATACACGCATTTGAGTAGACATCTCTCTTTTCTAAACAGTGAAATTAAGATATGTAATATATATGCGCACACACAAACACAGGCACTCACACACATACGAAACACATACACACACACACACACACACATATATATATATATATATATATATATATATATATATATATATATATATATACTTACACGTCGCTAAAAAAAGAGTAAATAGTTGATTTCTCGCTCCTATAGACTTACAAATACTCATTGAAGAACACTTTTTTTTTAGTTTGCCGTGTGCTTATTTTTTTATATCCAAACTCAAGATTTTCCATTTTTGCCAATTTCGTTGCTATTTTTTGAAAACATATAACGTCTTATTGTTCTTATTAGTGTCGGGTTTCAGGCCATTTGCTTTTGTAGCAACTTCAGAGAATTCATTTCTAACAGTTGTTTTTATCTACAAATTCTTCAAATGACTTAAATCCTGATATTTAAAGAAAAAGTTAAAACAGAAATTCTTATTCTTACAACTAAGGCGAATATTATTCTATTTAGATCAAATTAGTTAATGAAAGATCTAATCTATTTATTTAAGGTTGATGCTCTCCTTTAAAATTTTAAACTGTTGTGAGCTTGAGAAAGGGACGATTCCCTCCTTTTAGCTCATATGTTCAAGGCTGTCAAATACGGAAATTGAAAGAAAGAAATTTGGATATTCTTTTGTACACTATTCACATAAATGACGACAAAAAATCTGCAACAAGAAAAAATGAATTTAGAAAAATGCCCCTAATACAAGAGATAAAAATGGCCAAAATGGTTTATATTGACAGGAAGTAGACATTCACTTCTTAGTACAAGAATCTTGCTTGCATTTAAAGAAAAGTATCTTCAGGAAGTTACTAATGGAATTTAAGATTTCCAGGAAGCTGGAAATAAAGCTTCATCTGTTGATGGAAGAACATTACCAATTGAAGCGAAATACATTCCCCTTTCCAGTGACAAGAACTCTCACTTCTTCCAAAAAGTAATCATCTCTGATAAGTCAAACTTTTTCCTGTTTTTATATGCTTCTGAATGGCATGGAGCTGTTTAGCCAGTAACGGTGGTTGAAGCTTTGATTGTCTGCAACGAAAATTTCACTGCCGTTTACTACAAGGAATAAATTCTTAAGAAGCACATCATTCTATCCATCTAAACAGATTCCACATCCCATTCTGGCAATATGCCAACAGAATAATGTCCCTGGTAATTCTGCACAATCAATCAAAACGTTTCTGTGAAGATTGTGAAATCCAAACTTCTTTTTAGCCTGGCCAGTCTTCAGACCTCGACCTTAGAAAGAATTTGTTATTTGAAATAATCAAGTTTAATTCAAGAACTTTCAGAAAGCTTCATTATTTACAGCAGTTAAGCAAGAATTAAATAAATTGGGGCTCCTATTGTTGAATACGCTTTCAGATATTATGGATTGATAGAAATGTAAAAGAACATTGAAGTCAACACTCAGAAGCGACAGGCTGTGCCATGCTGGACGCAATCGTCAGGCCGGCTTGACGATTGCGTCCAGTATGAAACAGCCTGTCGCCTCTGAGTGTTGACTTCAATGTTAACTTTTATATTTATATATACATACATTCTATCTCTGATATTGAGCACTTTATTCCATAAATATACCACGCCTTAAAACTATATTTCTCCATATATATATATATATATATATATATATATAAAATAGGTAATGAAAAGTTTGGTAATCCGTATGGATAATCCCAAGGGGGATGTAATCCAGAGGGTTTAATCTCAAACGAGAGCAAATATTAATTTAATTAGAAAACAGACAACCTTAGGGGTCCATTGATTATATTTTATTTCCCAAAGAAGGTGTTTTTTTTCTTGGTTCATCAGATCACGTTTCAAGCATAAAAATGGTTTTAAATTTACGTATTATTTTTAAACACTTCTGAGGGAGAGCTTTAAGTTGATGTAAGGTAGTAGAGAGAGGTGGGAGAGGACGACATGTTGGTCAAACTTAGAGAAGGGAGAGATAGGAATAATTTTAAATCTATTTTGATTAAAATATTTATGAGTAAGGCAGGGGGTAAAGACTAGACATTGACGTATTTAATAAGTCATCTCACAGGAAACGAGACAAAAAGAAAAAAGGGAAGAAAATATATAAGGAATCAAATGTGGAAGCAGAGGTGTGAAGAAAAAGAAGAAAAGGATGAATAAATTAACATATATGGGTATATTGCGGTTAATTTCAAAAAATAGATATTGGTATATTTTTCAGTTAACGTTTGATATTAATTTAAACTTTAAAAATTTAAAAATTATCAACAAATGAAATAGGAAAAAATATAATGTGAATAAACAAAAAATATTAATATTATTAATATTATTAATAACAACTAAGGAGTAAAAAATTTAATTAAAATCTGAAATTTCAAATTTTAAATTTTAAATCTTAAATTCATAATTTAAAGTAAAAATATAAATCTCTCTCTCTCTCTCTACATATATATATATATATATATATATGTATTACAGTCATTATTTACAAACCATATAATATAATGTATTTCGAAAAGTATGTATCTAACTCTTCTCTCCCCAGTTATGGCTCAAATAGCAGGGTAGACTTGGTTCTGTTTCATTGGAAGGCAGTCACTCTAGAAGAACTACTACTCTAAATTCGAAACCATGGAGGAACCAACGGAAACCACTGTACTATTTTTCCAAGAAATCATATGACTTCCCAGGTAATAAAGAAAAATGGTATTTGAACACACATGATTGACAACGTCCTAAAACGACATGTCATTAGAAAAGCAATGCAATCATCTGAAAATAATAACTTTTAAAGTGCTTCATCTTTTAATTTAGTAAAACTGAATATATCTTTATCTTCAAATCTTTCCTTGGAATAATCAGAAAGCTAAAATACTTCAATTATTCTGGAGTCTTCTCTTAGACTCATAAATATTATATTGAATTCATTGAATGTAAATATATATCCGTTATTTTTTTTTTTTTTCTTTTTTTGTAATATTTAATGATTATCATGAAAGGCGAATAATGTTTTGTTCATCAAGGAGTGTTAGAAAGATAGAAAATGCTAGATATTTTTTCAAAATGTCTAAACTTGAACCTTCTAGTCTTTTTATTTATATTATGTATAGATAAAGAAATTCGTTGTCAGTGTTTATATTTTTATTGTTTCAGAAAACGATTATCTGAACGCAAATGAATGCGCAATGTTCATTAATAATTACATTCCTGAAAAATATTTAATGAAATGTTTTGACTTAAGAAATCTCTTTAGAGTAAATCACCGATGAATAAGAATATTGAAATATTGAAAATAATAATTCGCATTTTTTGTTTTATTGGAAGTAAAATCTATTGTTAGTTAATCATTTCTTAAACGTCTAAATCTTGATTTTATCATAAAAAGATAAAACTGAATCCCCTTCATTTTAATTTCTTCAAAAACAAATTTTTTTTAAATATTTAAGCTTAATTCTTTGGATTTTAAATGTTAAGATTTTTTCAAGTGATTATCAGATTTAAACAAATCGATTGGTTTTGTTCAATTATTATTATTATTATTATTATTATTATTCAGTTGGAACGCATGTTCATAAAGGTTTTCAATAAGTGACGTTTGAACAAATTATTTCATTTTGCAAGTGAATAAAATGAGAAAAAATTAGATGCATTTTCCGGAAAGGGGAAAAATGTTCACTAGGTTCAGAAGTGGAAATTTCTATAAGATCCAGAACGTTGTGACCAGCCTGTTGCCGTTGATGAGGGCCAAATCTAAACACTGACTGAAAATAATCCACATCAAATGACACAGAACATCATATAGTCAACATATTACATATGGGCCTTGTAAGTAAGGCATTTGTAAATACTTACACATGTAAATCGCTACAATGTTTCGGTACCTCAAGTTTTATGGTAAAAATGTAATGTACTGCATTTCCATCTACGATTCTCTGCTAACACGCAACAAACACACAGACGATGAAAAATGGATTGTTTACAATGATGTGGATTGCAAAAGGTCCTGAGGAAATCGAAATAAGCAACCTGAAGAAAACAAAATAACTCACTCTAAAAGCCGTAGAAAGTGATTCTATGTTTCTGGTGGGATTAAGCGTACTGGGTATTACTAGCTGCTTTTGTAAAATCGATCGTTGAATTCAGACAAGTAATATCCTCAAATGAACCGATTAAAGAGCTTCTGAAATTGGATAATTGGAAAGGTGTCATGTACCATCATGTCACGTATTTTTGCAAACACGGCAGAAATTGGTAGAGCTATATCCTACTACACCTACTATACTCACCCGATCTTTTACTTTCATATTACATCTTATTTCGATCCCTACAAAATTCTCTTAAAGGAAGAACTTCAATTCTCTGGAAGCCTGCAAAAACCTGTACGATGGACGTCTTTTATAATTAAAATATTGACACACACAAATACATATATATATGTATGTATGTGGTGTGTGTGTGTTTACGTGTTTGTATCTTATTATATATTATATATACTATATGATATATAAGTTATCAATGTAAATAATTATGCTAATACCTTTGTTTATCAGATATATATAAATTAACCAGAATACAATGCCCACTGTTATTACATGTAAAGTATTTTCTTGAAATTGATTCGATATATGATCTGCAGGTGTTGAACATTTTGAGTTGAAGTCTTTATTCTTCTAGCTCTACATTTCTGGCTTCGCTTTCAGGTGCATCGGCAGCTAAGATTTCTTTTGCTATTTGCGAAAGAAAGAATTGAGTTCATCTTTACTGAAAAGACAGAAAGAATGCACTTATCTTTTGATTGTCCCTTCTTTATTTTACCTTTACACACATTCTTTCAATAAATATTCATGTAAAACAAATTTCACAAATAATAACACGCATACACGACCAGATACACAAACAGAGACACATACATAGTCATCAATTTCCTGCTCCACACACAATTC